CCTACTTGAATTTCCTTTTTAAAAATCTAGCTGCTCTCTGAATGCTGCTTTTGTTTCAGTTCTTAGTGCTACAAAATGCACATTATACAAACATGCTGGCAGTTCACATTAAACAGAGATGCAAAAAGATTTTTTTTAAAATATGAGGGCTATTCTAAAACATTCATTCTTTAAACAGCATTTTAGAAAGCTGGATCCACATGAGTGCATTTTTGTATTGGAAATACCCTTTTGCTGCCAAAGAAAACTTCTTTAAAACATGACACCATTTGAAATACAGAACTCATAGATGTGTCTTTAATCCAACCCACCTGCAATTCTCTAAATGTCACCAACTCCACCACTTAAAATTAAAGAACATGCAAAGATCCTTCTGGTTATTAATTACACAGCCTCTCTGTTGCTAATTTTACCGGCTCCTCCTTTTACACCCCTTCATTACATACTTCTACCCACAAGCAGACTTCCAAAATCTACTTTGTCACATCCTCTGGTCAAGTTAAGAGTCAGCCAGTCTTCCTTCCAACTTTGAAGCTGCAAAGGTGGGTGGGGATTGCCTGGGTAGTTACACTATTCCTCACCATCTCCCCAGTTTCCAAGTTGGGTAGAATCATAGAGTTGAAAGGGACCACCGAGGGTCATCTGGTCCAACCTGCTACTATGCAGGAATCCAAGCTGAAGCTTATTTGTCAACTGTGTGGCCAAGGCTCCTTAAGAACCTAGGCCATGAAAGTTAACTCTTTTTGGAGTATGTAGAGTGTACTCAGGGTTGACATTGTAGTACTCTGGCGAATGAACACATAATGAATCATCTAGCTGGTGAGATCAACATGACTCCTAGAGTGGTAATCAAAACTATCTCATTCAGAAGCCTGCAGTAACACATCTTGGATAAAGTTCCAGAAATGAGACAAGTTCACACACGCCTCTAAATATAAGCCAACAGGCACAACATGGGTGAGAATCCTGAGATTCTCCCAGACACTGGTAATATTTAGTTACTAAGGGGTTTTTTTTTAAAAAAGAAAGCTTTCTTCATCCTAAAAAATACCTTTCATTGAAAGGCAAGGTTTTTGAATTTAAGGTTTCATAAACGTTAACTTTTACTGACTGAACACCTTACTCAAAACTTATATTTAGTAAATGGAAAGTACTATTTATTGTGTGTTACTGCATAGACCTGCTAAAGCCCTAGCTTTAGGGCTTGAATGCTACCTCCCAGCTGTAACCATTCACATTCATCAATATGCTCAAGGATAAACATATTTCCATGTGTTAATGTTCCCATTATTTGGCCATTGTCAGCCACAGAGCAAAAACAATTCTCTTTGACACTGCCACCCCAAGGACCCTCCTTCCTTCCTTCCTTCCTTCCTTTATTAACAACCATACCAGCAGCTACTGTTCTTTCCACTATCAAAACCCATTCAACTGGGCCAACTGTTGCCACAATAGATCAGATTTCTACTCTTCTAGTTTTGTTTCTGAGGCTGTGAAAGCAGCAGAGAAACCTCCTGCAGAAAAACAGACACACTTTTGCTACATCATCCTCAGAACTCTTGCTTCCATGGAAGCATCTTGGAAGAAGAAAACTAAAAGGTCCACAGTGTGTGCATGAACTAGCATGCAACTACCATTTAATTTAATGTGTAAGCTCTTTAAAGGACGCGGGTGGCGCTGTGGGTTAAAGCCTCAGTGCCTAGGACTTGCCAATCGAAAGGTCGGCGGTTCGAATCCCCGCGGCGGGGTGCGCTCCCGTCGTTCGGTCCCAGCGCCTGCCAACCTAGCAGTTCGAAAGCACCTTCGGGTGCAAGTAGATAAATAGGGACCGCTCTGGCGGGAAGGTAAACGGCGTTCCGTGTGCTGCGCTGGCTCGCCAGATGCAGCTTGTCACGCTGGCCACGTGACCCGGAAGTGTCTGCGGACAGCGCTGGCTCCCGGCCTATAGAGTGAGATGAGCGCACAACCCTAGAGTCTGGCAAGACTGGCCCGTACGGGCAGGGGTACCTTTACCTTTACCTTTAAGCTCTTTAAGAATTCTTGGGTGGATGCCACCTGGAAGCTGGTGATGTGTCGGTTTTTAATTCATTAGTAAGCCCTAGAACATTGTCTCTTCTCACCAACATTAGCTTCACTTCCTCATTGGGTGGAATTCAACATCATGCTCATCTAATAATTCAATCTACCCCAAGATTTCAGCTTGCCAGAGAGAATGACACCCCCCACCCCTGTGCTGTTCAGGGGGATCTCCTGACTCCTCCCCACAGTCAACTTGGGGGGGGGGCGCACAGGAGAAGGAAAGGGGAAAGCCCTGTTGCTCAAGCAGACATCCTTGCACAGGACTTATGGTGAAACGGCTGGTTAGGTGAATTCTGCCCATTTTGTTTACTTTTAGTGGAATGATGTTCTAATCTAATTAAATTAAGCATGCACTGTACATATACGGTATGCAACGTTATTAGGTTTTTGCTTCTATTGTGCTAAAATTTAAGGAGTTACAGGAACCACACAGACTAAGCAAAAAGGAATGGCTGTTCACCTTAGGCAAATGAATTGCTACTTCCATAATTAGTCACTACAGATGTGCAGTTGGGAGGATAATTTTTAATGTAGGCTTGCAAATTTGCTGTAACCTGCAAAGCTGTTGTACACATGCACCAACAGGAGACCAATATTAAAGTTGAAAGACTGATTTAAAAGGAAACGTTCACAAACTCTTGGATAATGCATACCTTCAAAGCTGCAACTGCTGCCACCTTCAGTCCATATATAATTTAGTGGATCTGATATAGTACTGCCTGCTCAGAAACGTTTCCATGAGATGACAGTTTCATGGTTGTCTGTGCAATTTCCACCTCATACCCATCATTACAGAATTCCAAATATCTGAAACATGCCTTCTGGTTGACTACATGCATTTAAGAAGATATATTTACCATTTAATTGCTTGCTCACATGGCAAACACTCTCAAAATGCCTGGTTTACACCACAATTTTATTCACTTCAAGTGTGGGCCTCATAAGGCCACATCATTTTGCCCTTTGAACTCGAAAAAAGAGTACTTAAAAGAAAAAGGGTTGTTTGGTGTTGTCGGGGCCAGAGTTCTCTGCAGCAAACAGAGACCTACTCTTTTCCGAATCATAGCATGTGTATGCTAATTTATATGGCTGACATAAAACATTTGATTGTTTTTATACCACAATTTTAAAACAGTCCTCAGAATAATAGGCACTGTTTGTTTTTAAAAAATCACACTGATTTTAGAAATAAATTATAAGGGTTGCCAAATTAGTATTTAAGCTGCCACAAGATTGCCATTTGGGACTGGAACTACATTTACCAGATCACAATCTTATAACCACTACAAATTCTTGTTAAACTAGGCTAAAATCACTACAGCATGCATTTAAAAGCCATTCTTTAATCACCTAAATGTTGAAATTAATGGATAATATATGGGATTTCTCAGAAAAATATACCTTCTTTCAACACTTTGCCCAATGACCAAAAAATGCTAATCTTTCAATAGGAAAGATTTAACTTTAACTTTTCAACTACGGCCCCCTCCCCCATGATGGCAAAGGTATTTCTGATAAAAACACAAAATGGTGTATCCAAGGTCCAGCCAAACCCATCACTTCAAGTCTCTTTGTAGGCAGTGGACATTCATCTATCTCCCAATTAGTTTCTAAATTGTATGAATTTAAGTAAACTGACAAGGATGAAGACCTGGCACTGTTGGGTCATACTCATCAGTATTATACTAATAAAACCTTGTCTTTTTAATAAAACGGGGGGAGTTCTACAAAAATATAAGGAGCTTCTCGTTTACAGAGTATCACTGCACCATGTTTACAAATAAAACTTATGAGCCAGCAGTCACATAAAAGCTTGTTTAGAGTCACTGGCTAGGGCTCAGTCCCCAAACCGGTTTTCAATGACAGGGCGAAGCTCTAGACAACAAAGGTGGCTGTGGCCTCAAGCGTGCCTTTACTGTTTTTAGTGTGGTGTTTTAAATAGTTGTGACCACCTCTGGATCATAGAGTGAACAGGAATGATAATCAGATTTTTAAAAGATGACCATTATATAATTTGAGTGCCCCCCAATGACCACAATGATATACTGTATACACATATCTAAAGCTGAGGGGAAAGAGTCTCTAAAGTTAAACAGGCTGCGTGATTGCCCCCCCCCCCAAATCTGAGAAATAAAAAACTGCCATGACTCTGCCCCGCTCCAGCGCATCTCCTCCTCTCCTTACACAACATGCCTTAGGGATGGGCTCAGTAGGTAGAGCACGATAATCTGAATCTCAGGGTCATGGGTTCGAGGTTCCTGCATTGCAGGAGGTTGGACTAGATGATCTTGTGGCCCTTTCTTACTCTACAACTCTGTGAATCTATGATCGCACGTGAGGTAAGGCAGCCTCTAAGCCAGGCATGGCCAAACTTGGCCCTCCAGCTGTTTTGGGACTACAACTCCCATCATCCCTAGCTAATAGGACCAGTGGTCAGGGATGATGGGAATTGTAGTCCCAAAACAGCGACACCGAGAGCCAAGCGGGCTGCTCCCTGTGACTTGGAACTCGCAAAATCCCCGCGTTTGCCGCACCGAAGCCTGACGCTCTCAGGTGTACGCGGAAAGCCGCGTAAGTTAGGGGCGCGCCTAAGAGCACGACGAGGCCCATAAGGATTGCTTTCCCTGCACCCTAAAATGGCCATGCGCTGGATGTGGGGACCGGCGCTTTTGCGGAAAGGCCCACTTCGCTCCACCCCAATTATCAAAGCAGCAGGAAGTCCCAGAGGGCACTTCTATCACCCCCGCTGTGCGCGCAAGCGCAGTAGCGCCGCATTCTTCTCCTCCTCCGGCCCCCACAAGCCTCAGCGGCGAGAGAGGCAGGAGCGTAGATGCCTCCCCCACCCCCAGCACAAGTCTGAGGGAAAAGTCCGTTGGTACCGGTCCTCTTGAGGCCCCGCTTCCCTCACCCTCTCCACTTACACAACGACTCGGGAGATGATACACGACACCATGTTGCCGCCCCGGTTCCGTGGGCGCCGCTTCTACCTTTAACCGTCCGTCAGTCTGTCCGTCCCGCCAGCCGGAGCCCTACCTCTCCTTCCCGCTCACGACTTTCTGCCGAGCCGGGCACCGAATGGCCCCGGCCGCTTCGCCCGACAAACACAGCCTAAGCCCCGCCCTCCTCCCGCCTCGGGCATCACAATAGGCGCGGAGGCCGCGCCTCCCCATAAACGGATTGGCTCGCGCCGCCCAGCCTCATTCGCCCGCCGCCTGCCGTCGAGCTGGGCTGCAGCGCGCATGCGGCGCGCCTCTGGACGGCGAGGAGCGGATGGGTATGTAAGGAGCCGCAGCTATGCGCCGGCGCAGTCTTTTTCTCCCCCCCCCCTTTGCTGGCTGTGTGGTGGCTTGTAATGTAGACTGTGCTAAGCCCCTTTCCCGGAGGGTCGCATGCGGAGTTATTTATTGCTTTTTGGAGGGGGTGGGGGAGCCGGGTTAGTTTGCCGCAGCGTCTCGTGCGCCTTAAAAAAAAAGACTTCCCAAATGTTTATCTTGCCATTAAGCATCCGATGGATGTGCAGCAGCCTTTCAGGTGCCCCAACACCAGGCCCCGGGTGGCTTCTGCTCGTGGCTCGTTGCCTTGCCCCGTTCGCGCCCCTTCTTCCATGTCGCTGCTCTTGAAGCGGGCCCCGGGGATAATCTGCGCGCGATGGATCCGCGTCTCTAAGGCTGGAGAAAGCGGCGCCTTCGTTTCCGCACGAGGCTCCTTTCTCCTGGAGGTTGTTTTCTTCCCCCAGCCGCGTCAACGTTTCCACCCCACCACCAAACTGCGGGGAGGAGGCAGCCGATCTTCTTGGGTGCGGCTGGAGAGGTGAAATTGGAAAGCGAGGAAGTCTTGGGAAATGCCACTTTTGCACACATTAAGCTCTGCGCGGTGTTGGCCTTGTTTGCTCATCTTGCGCCCGAAGCCTTTTCCCCGCCGCAAAGGTGTCTCTGACGTCGCCCTCGTTAAACAATCGGAAAGCCTTGCTGATCTGCTGCAGATCGGCCAGAGATCTCCCAGTAGATCCTGATCCACCTTCTGCCCGCCCCTGATAAATGAAAATGGTGACAGCATCCTGGAATGACTCGTAGTTTCCTTTCTACTGAACAGTTTCAAACGGTCAAATATATGCAAGGATACATTTGTTTGGCCCTGGATTTGGGCATAATTTGCAATGGAAGTGTTGGGCATTAAATAGTAGAATGGGGCTGAAAGAGGGGGAAAGAGGAATCGTAAGCATTGGTACGCACAGAGGACAAGGAGCAGCACTAGATCTTTTTTTGATGTAGTTTTCTGAAATTAGTGAAGAAATATACTGAGACATACAAATCCCACATACTGGCAGTTCTTGCACTAGTGCTTTCTCCTCAAATATAACCTTGTGCTATGTTCCAAACTTGGCTTCCTTCCTCCTATTGTTCAGTTCTGTAATTCTGCCGATAAATAATGTGTGTTGTAGTGTGGAAATAAATAACAACTACAGATCTGCCTGTCTGACAGGTAATGAAGATGAGTGTACTTCCTAAGCTTCTTCAGGACATGTGAAATCCTGCACTCTTTTTTGCAACTGTCCTTTTCTGATCAGATACCAGATAACCCAATTCCAAGTTTTGCCTGATTTTTTTCTCTTCAAGGGCCATGCATAGCGCCTTTATCTATCTTACTTTTAAGGAGGACTCTCATAAGGTTTCTGACTCTTAGATATCTTTTTTTACAATCCAGATTTGCAAAAATAGCAGGAAATGATGTAATGAAAGCTTGAACCTGCAGCGTGCATGAACTGTGATTCATGGAGGTGAATTTTGCAAGCATGATTGCTATGGTGAATTGCCCACCCCTCCACCAGTTTTAGCATAAGGGAGCAGAGGACCACTAGAACTCCCAGAGTCTGTGATTTGGCAGACTTTGTGCTGGAGTGTTGTGTCTAGAAGGTAAAAATGCATGAAAAGCAAACTTTTGAGGTTTCTACTGTTGACGTCAGTGTTTTTTCAAACAGTGGTCTGGTCTGCTGAGCAAAGGTGGCCATGAGACAGAGAAGTCTGGGTGGGAGGAAGGAAATATGGTTTCCCTACTCTGAGGGCAAAGATCCAGAGGAGGAGGTGCTGAGGGAAATTAGGTTGTGAAATAAAAAGATAGTTGAATATTTACTATTAATAAGTAAATAAATAGACTGGGAATTGAATGGCAGGGGATAAAATAGGGTGTTGTGGGAGGAATAAACGCATGTAAAAGGACCAGGGGGGAAGTGTGTGTGTGTGTGAGAGAGAGAGAGTGAGAGTGTGCAGTTATGGGCAGGGGAGATAATGTGTAAGTTGAGTGTAGAAGGAGAATTGGGGAAGATATGGGCATGGGGATGTAAAGGGAAACATATATTAAAAAAAAACATTTCCCAGCAAATACTTCCTCAAATTGGGAGGCTGAGTCAGTACCTCCACAGCTACAAGGAAAATATTGGCCAAAATACCGTATTTTTCGCCCTATAGGACGCACTTTTTCCCCTCAAAAATGAAGGGGAAATGTGTTTGCGTTCCTATGGGGCGATGCAGGCTTTCGCTGAAGCCTGGAGAGCGAGAGGGTCGGTCGCAACCTACCCCTCTCGCTCTCCAGGCTTAAGGAAGCTATCCGCAAGCCATGGGAGAGCTGCACGACTGTTCGCGCAGCTCTCCACTGGCTTGGGAGAGCATCGCCTGCACCCGAAGCCTGGGGGCGCTGACGCTCAGCGTGCCCCCAGGCTTTCGGACTCTAGCGCAGCTCCGCAGGCCTAGGGAGCACTGTGGGAGTTCCTGCAGGGCTTCCCTAAGGCTGTGGATAGCAGCCTGCAGCGCGGGGTGCGCTGAAGCCGTGCGGCTGGGGGGGATAGATTTTTTTTCTTTATTCCCCCCCCCCCAAAAAAAACTAATGCGGCCGGGTGCGTCCTAAAAAAATTAGCAATTTTTTAAAAATGTAATGAATATGTATAGGAAGTGATGCCAGCTGATTATACCAAACTGCCACCATTCTGTGACTGACATAGTGAGCTGGGAGAGTCTGAGGCAAAGGGAAGTCCAGATCAGGCAAAAAAGGCAGAGATGAATGAAGAAGCATTGGGGTCTTCCCTTCCTGCTGTGACAAACTCCCCTCCCTCTTGTCTCCTAGGACCAAGGAAGGCATGAAGTGGGAGGAGGAAAGGCAGGCGTGCGGTCACAGTCTCAGATTGCTTTGGGAAAACTTGGAGAGGAAGAGACTTGGGTAGCTGCAGGAAGGTGGGGACCTTTAGTTTCCACAGCTGCCTCATAAGAGCAAGACATTCGAAGAGAATTGCTGTGCTCATTAGGCCTGGCACTCCTGTGCAGATCCTGTTTAAATAATTAACTTCACCTACTCGGTGTGATCCACTGCGAGCTTCCGGCAGATAGATTAGGTAAATATTTCATTAAGAACATAGTAAGTGTTCTGCTGGATCAGGGAAAAGGCCTATGTCTAAATCTCTTTCCAAGCCTTCCAGGATAGTTGCCATTGTTACATATTGTGGGAGCAAATGTGCCTTCTTTTGATCAGCTAATCTGGATTGTATTTGCTTTGCTTCAGGCAGGGTGTATGTGAGTCCAGGCAGGATGTGTAGAACAGTCAGAGAGATTTCTGGTTCTCTGTGCAATACCTACAGAAGTTGCAATGTCACTAACAGTGCCACACTTGATTGTCTGCCTGAGGCAGCAAATTGCCTGCTGCTTACCTTTGAGTTTGCCATCTTAAATTAATGTGAGACGGTAGAAGATAGGTGAAATAAAGAAATAAGAAGTATTTGACCTGCAAAAGTTAAAGTTCCCCGACTGTAACAAGGTGGTAGGTAACCAGAAGTCCATGGCGACTCTAGGGATGCTTTGCTATTAGAAAAATGCCTAATTGTGTATTGGGTTTAAGCGGCAAACAGGCCTGACCGAAATGGGTTGGAACTGTGGGGTTGAGCTGTAGGGAAATTGGGGGTCCGTTGTACAGGTCCCAGGGTTCCATTCGAAGACTGATGGAAACCCTGGCAGATTGATTCCGAAATCTGCCCCTGGGGAAATCTGATTAAGCCCTGAAATACCTAAGCCTAACGACCCGAACCATGCTAGGCCTAGAAGGCTAGTGAATGGGCCTTCAGTTATGATGAGGTTCAAATTCCTGGTGTACTTCTTAAACTGGACTTTGAAGGTGCCCATCCCCTTTGGCTGGATTCTTTTTCTCTGGAAGTCCCATAGCACTATGGGGGCCGGGTGGAAAGGAGGACCTCCTTAGGGCAAAGCTCCTTTCAGAGCTCTTTCAGAGTCTATCTTGAGTTGTACCCTAAGCTTATTGGACCCCTGGGGAAGGAAGTTGAAGTACCTGGCTGGAGAGGTGGAGGAGAGGAGGAGAGTCCTCCTCTATGTAGGCCTCGTGGACATGTTGCTTGGGTCGTGCTCTGGAGGTCTTGGAGCGGCAGACTCGACCAATGTGCCCAGTCTTCTCACAGCAGCGACATGTGGCGTCCCAAAACCTGCGTGTCCGATGCTTCGTGGTTTTCTCTGCAGCTGGCACAGGTCCCTTGAGGTGCGTCAGATGATTGCTGGTTCGATGATGTGCTTGTAGCTTGGGAGCAGTGGTGTTGGTCGGATCGGTCCAAAGCTCAGTGGACATCCTCATTGTGGGAATCTACGGAAGAGGACCCGTCTCGCTGGATGTGGTGAGTTCTCCTTTCAGTACGTGGGCTGTGGGCCGCCTTGTGGGCATTATCCTTCTCAAAGGCCGTGGCCATATTCATTGCTTCCATCATCATGAAGTCATCTTTTGCCAGCAGCTTGCGGCGGAGATGGCTGTCTCGCATGCCACTGATGAACCTTTTGAGAAGTCATTATACAATGTCAGCGAATTGGCAATACATCGCAGTCGCCCAGAGTGCTGTAATGTATTCACTCGCTGACTCTTGCGCTTGTTGCTCTCTTTGTGCAAAGTCGTAGCGGTGGTGGTTCTTAGTTGGCTGAGGCGTGAGGTGTCTTGTCATAGCCTGTGTCAGCTCATCAAAAGTGCATGCCTCTATGTCCCTGGGTGCCATCAGACCTTCCAGTAGAGTGATGGCAGAACTTCCCAGCACCGTCAGTAGCACATCCACCTTGTCTGCCTCCCTAGTGAAGCCTTGTAGTCGGACGTAGCTCC